TGGTCCTGGGCAGCCTCCTGTAGGTGGCCCAGCTTGAGTAGGGGCAGTTGGACATGATGACCTCAGAGTTCCCTTTGAACCTCAATCATTCTGTGATTCTGTGAAAAATTAACTGGCTTCAGGCATTATCGTGTCATCTTGCATACCTTTAGAAATATATGCATATGTATACTCACGTAACTTTAAAATCTCTTTACCTTAGGTTTTTGGCTTACCTGGTTTACATATAGTATGTTACAGTGTGCGTAAAGTTTGAGTAATGAGATATTACTGATTTTGATTCAAACTTATTTTAAAATTTTGAAGAGGAAGATCTGAAGTCAGTCTTTTCAATATAGTTACTTCCAAGTATAAGAATTTGAATTATTGGATGTCAACTTCAGCAAAGAAAGGTTTGTAGAAAGGCTTAATTGTCTGGAAATTAAAATGTTCTCTTGTCAGCATGACACAAAAAGAGATAAAACAACCCCAGTTCATTCACTCTGTTTTCAAAAGTTGTGATCTTTCTTGATACTGAGAAAACTGAGCCAGTACCCCTGCAAAAGGCTTTCCAGCTACAGAAAAGCAATTATTTCCCCTCTTACAGAAGGGCATTCCTATTTATGTATCACAATGTTCCTGTCTTTTGCAATGTGTCATTCTTGATTTATGCTCAACTTATGACCTACTTGAAGATGCTTTTCTGTTTCACATAATTTCCTTGCCTGTCACTGCTCACACTGTTGGTAAAGAGGATTATTCTCTTTAGAAGTTTCTATTTGTCCCTCCTGAATTGCATTTTATTTTTCAGACCATTTCTCCAATTTAACAACCTTTTGATTCTAATCCTGTCTTCCAGTGTAACTGCAGACTTTCCCAGTTTGGTATCACCAGGGATTTTCAATCACATATTTTATGCCCCAGATCAGAAAAATTAATCATCTCCCTTGTCCTCTAGTAAGCCACTGACTTATTTTGAGAGTGCAATCTTTTTGCCAAACCAACACTTACAAACATTCTCTGGTTTTTGTGCATCTACGCCATTTACAGTTTAAAACATCTTTCAGGAATTTAAGTGTCATTGGTAATACCCCAAGTTCCATTTTCCTCTAAAAGGATGGAAACGTGTTTCCTTGTATGTATTTTCTACCTTCTGCGTGTTCTCAAACAAGCATTCTAGACTTTTTCAAATTAGTTGCTGCTTCTCATGATAATTAGCCAAATACTCCTACAACTAGCTGAAGCAGTGTAATTTATCTGTACTACTCCTTTGCTTAGTTGTCTTTTCACCAATTCAAACAATGACAAAAAATGCACTAAACAATACCTTTTCAACATTATCTTTTCATAGCTTGTTAGCCCTGTCTCTCAAATATCCTTCAGTCATCTTTGTATTTCTGATTTACTTATAGGACGTTCAGGTGTACCAAATCTTTATTTTATTGGCTTAAACATTGTTTTTGTCCTCATGATTTTTATACTATCATTGTGAGCTCTACTTTCTAAGGTCCCTCTCATACAAGATACTTTCACCCTTCAAAATCTCAGCAAATTAATGTCTCATAATTAGCAAGTTAGAGCCCAGAGTCTTTGTAGCTGTTTTCATCATCTGCTGTGATCAGCACATATCAAGAACTATCTGGACCAATTCTTTCTCAGATAATCCCTACTCTCTCTTTTTCAAGGAAGTCCTTTGCTGTGTACGTGGAACACTCTACATGCTCTTTAATGTTTTTCCCATTTGATTCTCCTGATTTTAAGGCACAATGCAGATCCCTCTGAATTTTGTCTCCCTCTTATCACCACCTAGATTTATAGCAGGTTATCTCCTACGCTATTGACCTCAGAACCAATGTATGTAAGGCACTCCCTCTCTTGCCAGCTCTTCCTAAAGGAGTTACACACTTACATTGCATTACTCCAGTCAACCTCACCAAATCTAATGGGCAATTAAATCGTGAGATCCACAAACATTTTTTGCCAATAAAATTTCCTGATCCCCAAGTGCACTGTCCTAGGCATGTTCAGACCTTAAAAGTTTGGCGCCAATCCCAACAAAACCCACAAGTCCCTTTATCTACCTCAAGAACTCAATAGGATAAGCATTCTTAGGATACACTTACTAGATCAGAGCCCATATAAAATTTGTTGATAAGAGATTCAGCATTGTTACAGAGAACATTAAGATTGTATACTTACCCACAACTCAACAGCTAAATGGCAAGAGCATTTACTTGGAGGAAAAAGGTCTGTACTTCAGTGGGCATTTTTTTGTGGGGTTTTTTGTTGTTTGGGGTGGATCAGTGGAGTTTTGGGGGGTTGGTTTGGGGGGTTTTAAGTTTTTTTAATCATGAGGCTAGGTATATAACTATAATTCACTTTTGAAGAACTGCAGGAGCTATCAAAAAATTCCTGCTGCAAAATATGCTATAATTCTAGAACTGCTCTAATATAGAAGGTAAGAGGGAGGAAACTGAACCAGATTCTCCTACAGTCTTATAAATAGGAGATACTCAAAGATGTGTGTTTGCACTGCACATATAACAGTCAAGTTTATGTAATGCAAAACAGAATGTGTTACTATTACACTGTGGTCTACATTGCTATTTTCACAACCATTATTTTTGCAAAAATATCGGAGATACCTCAGAACACAAACTTTATGTTAGATACCAGTAAGTTAAACAGTAACTTTAATTTTCATCATAAGTCAATAAAAGAAAGCACTGAAGTTTTATTTAAAACATTCTTTACAAATACTGATCTATACTATCAGCCAATTCCATAGACTCTGTTCAAGTTAAAACTATTTTTCCCATGCATGGATGTGTGGGATGTCCAGGAAGAATGTTTCTCCTAAACTGTTCTAATTCTAGGTATTTTTTATTGATTTTGTTTAATGCTCATGAAAATAAATATTATCACTCTTAAAAAGAAAAAAGCTTGCACATGTAAGACACATTTGCATGACATTTGTACCCCTTCCTGAATATGATATAGTCATCATCTTTACTGATTAAGGTTTACTTCATAATCAACATATTATAATTGTTTTGATGATTAGAAAACCCCCTCTTTTATAGGTATACTTAAGTACAGTAATAAATTTAGACAAATGTTCTCAAGCCAAAAAGCCAGTTAGCTTCAGATGCACACAAATGGTTATTTAAAAAAGCCCAGAGTGTACCCACATCCTCTTGAGACATGCTAGATACAGGAGGGCTGGTTAACCCAGTCTTTCTGAACTTATGTAGTAATCAGGCTCCTCAAGCCTCCTTGGAAGACCTTAATTGCAAACCAAACTGGAGTCTAGACTGCTGAGATGGTTGTTGGCCCTTTGTACTTCTCATAGATTTATAATTTTGAAGCTGTGAAAATGCCTACAAAATCATGTAACCCAAGCAAGGGAAGCAGTTAGTTTTCCGGTTGCACTAAGGAACTTAAAAGAAAATAAAATATCAGAGCTTTTTTGAGCACTCTTCAGTACCTCAGGTTTGTTTTTTTTCTAGTCTCATCACTGCCATAAACTAGAGAACCACTGTAAATTTATACCAGACAATTAATACTTTCTTGAATGGATAAATGGTTGAAGCAAAGATGAAATTAGACATCCTTACAGAGCACTATGCATACAGAAAGGAGATCTGGAAAGGACTAGAAGGAACTTGAGAATCCTGCTGTCACAAATAACTGTACTATACTATTTGTTCATTCATTATGTCCTACTGCATGATGAAGTTAGATTCTGCTTACTCCTGGTAAAAGGGAATTCCAGAATCTGTTCTGACTTACAGGCTAAGTTTATTAATTTTTTTGGTGACTCCTTCTGCAAGGCCTAGCACAAACACAGAAACTTCCCAGACTCCAAAAAAGATTTTTGGAGCCACTTAATCTCTGTTAACAAAGCAGCAGGAATCAAGATGTCTAGAAAGGGTCTGGAAAGGTCACAAATTTGATTCATGTGCAAGCAGCAGACATCAACTTATTGACACTGGGAAAAGAAGCTGTGATGGTAATTAAAGTAGGATAAAAGGAGAAACAGTGGGGAAGAAGGAAAATAAGGAACTCTGATTTTGTTCAACAAAAAGGTTAGCTTTAGATTTAGCAAGAGAAAGGTTAGCTTTCCCATACATGAATTAGTTTCAAACTTGTAATTGAGGAGCATAAAATCGCACAACACAAGCTGGGTGCAACTCTTCAGCTGAAAATGAAAAAAAAATCCCTCCTGACATAGCTACAACTGTTGAGTAAGTGGAAGAACAAAAGAAAACATACAAGATGCAACTTGTAACTACCCAGACAATACCTCTGAGCTGGCCACACAACTAAATTATTTTGTTGGTCAAATATTTCTTCTCAAGAACAAAGGGAGCTCATAGCAAGAAAAACCTGGGTATTTTTGGCTGGAAAGGATTTTTGCTCTTGATCATTACTTAACCTATGCCTACAATTACCTGAAAGAAAACTCAGGGCTTAAACCATAGTTACCAATAGGCCTCCTTACAGCACTGTGGTAGTGATGGAAATTTTGCATCCATGTTTTATCTCTTTTTGTGTCATGCTGACAAGAGAACATTTTAATTTCCAGACAATTAAGCCTTTCTACAAACCTTTCTTTGCTGAAGTTGACATCCAATAATTCAACTTCAAATTCTTATACTTGGAAGTAACTATATTGAAAAGACTGACTTCAGATCTTCCTCTTCAAAATTTTAAAATAAGTTTGAATCAAAATCAGTAATATCTCATTACTCAAACTTTACGCACACTGTAACATACTATATGTAAACCAGGTAAGCCAAAAACCTAAGGTAAAGAGATTTTAAAGTTACGTGAGTATACATATGCATATATTTCTAAAGGTATGCAAGATGACACGATAATGCCTGAAGCCAGTTAATTTTTCACAGAATCACAGAATGATTGAGGTTCAAAGGGAACTCTGAGGTCATCATGTCCAACTGCCCCTACTCAAGCTGGGCCACCTACAGGAGGCTGCCCAGGACCACATCCAGATGGCTTTTGACTATCTCCAAGAATGGAGGAGACTCCACAGCCTTCCTGGGCAACCTGTGGCAGTGCTAGGGCACTTGGCCACTAGGTCAGTAAAAAAAGCTTTTTCTTACATTCAGATGGAACCTCCAGTGTTTCTACAAAACTGTATTTTTCTAGAGAGCTATACAATTACAAACATTTAAATTATACTATCACATGACAAATTGCTGGTTATCAGCTGCCAGCTACAAATTCTGTAATTTTATATATCCACATACCTCTTCAAGTTCTCCTGAAGAAACAGGATTATCCTCGTACGTGGGGAAATGGCACCCTGCTTTACAACTGCAAAACCTGCTAGTTTCCTCACGCGGCTCCACTATTCTGCAGTTTACTTTAGAGCTCTCCATCGCCCGCCCATCTATAGATTCTTTCATACTGCATTCTAAACAGGGATCTTGGTTTCCTACTGGCAACATCCCAGCCGACTCTTCTTGGGAATCCAATGATGTTTGTGCACTCTTCTCCATTCCAGACTTTTTTAATCTGGGAAGGAATTTTCCAGATTCAAGCTCTGATTTTCCATAATAATGCCCTTCTTTTTCTGCATCTTCTTCCAGAGGTTTGAGATCTGCTTGTGGATCCTCAAATACATCTACTTGAGAAGGGACAGCAATACCTCCCTCATCTTTTTCTGACTCAAATTCTGACTCACTTCCACCACCTGGAGAAAGTTCAGATGCAGAAATTGGGCGAAAGTGAGTCCTTGGAGAAATCCGTATAGCCCTGTACTGCGTTCGATCAACACCACATATCCTGGGGTGTAAAACCTCACTGTCTGAATCAGAGCACAGAATTGATTTAGGTTTAAAACTAGGGCTGAAAGATGCAATTCCTTCTGGCTCAAATGAACACTCTACATGAAGAACTTGTGAAAACGGATTGTTCAGGTCAAAGGAAGAGAATGAGTATTCAAGCCCTGGTTCTTCAACTTGAAAGTTACCACAAGCTCCCAGTAAGTCTTCATGGAAGATAAAAGAAAACCCCTTATTTAATCCGTTATCTCCACTCTTTGATTGCTCATTCTGTTCAAATGATACAAATGGCCTCCATAATTGCCTATGACCAGGGGCAAAGCTATTACCTGGAGTCATAAAAACATCTGTACCAGCTATTGTCACTACATCAGAAGCTGCACATTGTAATAAGCTCCCTTTTGAGTGACTAGGTGGCACCACTGCCCATTCTCCATCACTGTTAAATGTTTTGAGTTCCCCATACACACCACCAAGTATAAATGAGTTTTCTTTATCCTGGTTAACATCCCAAGGTTTTGATGGTGTAGTGTAGTCACCACCATCTACTTTTGATAAATCATTTGAGACAAAGGCTCTCTTCTCTAAGTTCTCCTTCTGACCATCCCAAAGATGATACTCTGATCTCTGCACTGCTTTATTGGGCTCCTGGAGGGTTTCAACTTTTGCTTCTGTATCCAAACAGCAGCAATAGTTATTTACATCAGTTGAAAACAATTCATCTTCTATTCCTTCTATTTCTACCATTGCTGCAGAATTTCTGTCTGTCATATTTGTCCAAATATCTTTAATAACCCCTGAGCTGTAGCCATCTCCATGTGGACTGCTTTCACTACACCCTTGTGTAGTTTCATAGTCTTTACTTTCTGCTTTTTGTTCTAGCTGAATACCACAGACAGATTCTAGCTTAGATTTTTTTTTGAAAATCAAAGTGGGCATTTCTCCTAAAGTTCTAGCTTGTTGCTGGCAGGTTTCTTCTGGCAAAAAATCTAGAATTTCTTCATCTACATAACTCGAAGACACTCTAGGAACTACATAATTAATATCTTCTGCATTAAATTGCGTGGATTCTTCATATGGAATATTTAAAGTCTCATTGTCTGAACGTGTTTCTTCCGAGTGTGACCATGGACTACAGGTTCTTGTTGAAAGATTGGAACAGTGTTCATTTTCATCAAAGGCACTATTTTTGGTCCATATTAGCAATCTAGACTGTGTTTTCCCAAGAATATTAGCAGTGCTACTAGAATCTGCATTTTCATTTCCCAAGTTGAGTGTTTCAAAAGAAAATGGTAAAACAGAGTTACTGCATTGCACTTCAAACACTGAAAAACAAGAGTTTATACCAGACCCTTCATTAATATCTGAAAAGAGCTCTTGATTGCCAGCAAGCATGTGTGAGTTAAGCATTGTGCTGTCTAAGATGGGGGAGAATCTGATCGGAGAATCTCCTCCAAAACTTTCCCCATCTGCATCACCAGAACTAGAAGATGAACAGCACTCCCAAAATTGAGCTAAATTACTAAGGTCTTGCAAGAACCACCCTTCAGCACCAACAGAGCTGGTCGAATCTGTCCATATTGCACTTTCCCCTTGCAACTCCATTCCATCTAACACTATGCAACATTCTGCCTCAAAATCAGTTTTTTCTTTACTCTTTTGTCGAATCATATTTAAAATCCGACTCTCCCCTTGCATCGTATCTGAGGCACCAGGATCCAACATGGATTGATCAATATCCACTTCATAGAAGTGTGTTAGTTCTGAGAGATGAACATCATCTAAATATTTGTCGTCCTCTGGTTGAGAACATATTGAGGTCCCAGCGAGGTCAATATCCTCATTTAGAACTGCAGGCATTTCTACAAAGTGACCATCGATGAAAGTACCTGCTGCGAGGTATGTTTTATGAATATTATTGTTGCTAATACAAAGACCATGCACTGATTCAGACAACTCTTCTACAGCCTCTGATGTTACGCCACGTATATCTTCTCTGTTGCGGTATGTAGTCTCCAGCTTGCTTTTTCTGCTGAGAGGAACAAAGTACTCTGTAATCGGCTCAGTATACCACAAGGGTTCTTCTTTATATTCCTTTTCATTTCTGCTGTCTAAATACAAATCTTTTCCGTCGCTACCGCCAGCTTCTTTTCTTCCAATTTCTTTTAATGGCCTTTTACCTCTTTTGCACAGCTGTTTGATGGACCCGCTGCTACTGCTGCTACTGCTTCCACTGTGGACTTTTCTATCGGCCTTTTCACCAGGTTTCACTGAAAGCCTGCTTTGTGCATTCCGCCCTTTTTTATTTCGAACCTCTCTTGTTTTGTGTCTTACTTTAATACATTTCATTGATGCCTTGTATTCACCTTGATTACCACTAGAACTTGAGCCAGCCTCACTGGATCCAGATGACCAGGAACGAGGACGCATCTTTCCCTCAGACTTATGTCGGACTTGCTTTTTGTACAAAACGGGCTTTTCTTCAACAGTGTTGTTACTAAACTTGTTTTCTTTCTCATTTTTACTTTTCTTCTGCTGGTTTCTTTCTTGTACAGTGGCTGATGCTTTATTACTTCTATCTTTAGTTACTTCACTTTCACTATTGCAGTCCTTTGGAGAAGATGTATCTGTGCTAGTTGGTGGAGCAGTGGATGAAGATGAGGAGCTAGAGTAAGAGCATACTTTGGATTTATTCCATACAGTCATAATTTCCTGCAGGCAAACTGGCTTTTCAGAAAGAGGAGGAAATGCTTCATAGTACCTAAAAGGAAAACAAAAAGGTGACATTCAGATCGTAGGACTTCAGACAGGCATTAGGATTATAAATTATTACTAAAACCACATCAAAACAGTACCAATCTAACTGCCAAAAAATCTAGTTTATTCTACATATGCACATTCACTCATTACACTTGTTATCTGAAGGATAACAAATGGGGAGATTAAGATAAGCTTTAAAAGTGCTTATATTAATATAGGTTTAAAAACATACTGCCAAGTAAAACAATCCCATTTTTAGGAACTACTAAACCTCACTGTAGACAGAAATTGTGGATGCCTAAAACAGTGAAGGCTGACTCCAGATTTATTAGATAATGTAGCAATTCACTGCAGTCGTCTTAAACGTTTGATTTAAAGTATAAATAAGGAAGTCTGAATTCCATGTTTTTTAATACTTCTTTGTGAAATGAGACACTAGCTGTTAAGTTCCAAATAGTTTCATCGTTCAGTTATTTAAAAAAAAAACCCAACTATTGCAAAACAAGATTAGTTCTTGAACAGTTTAAGATGCTTAACTTTGTACAACAGGGACAAAATTAAAATACAGTTTTCTGCAACATTTAAAGTAGTATATGTTTGACAGTAAAGACATTTATACTGAATTACATATATTTCAATGAAAACCTATCAAAAAACATTCAGAAGTCAGTTAAGTTAAATGCACATTAGCATAATCAGTTTCCTGAAGAAGTATCATCCATTTAGAAACACTTCTACTACACTGTTGCTACCAGTGGTTATTAAGAGATAAAGTCATATCTCCAAGAGAATGATAAAAACTCCTGGGTACTTCAGTAACACTGGACACAGGTACTTGGTAACTAGTAGACCACTTTGGTTATAAAGAGTTTAAAGGTTATAAAAGAGCTTCAGTTTCCCATTTCTGCAACACAAGATAAAGAATTCTGAACAAGATAGTACAAGAGGTAATGGTTTTAAACTAAAAGAGGGTAGATTTAGACTAAACATAATGAAGAAATTTTTTTACGAGGGCAGCTGAAACGCTGGAACAGGTTGCCCAGAGAGGTGGTAGATGCCCCATCCCGGGAAACATTCAAGGCCAGATTGGATGGGGCTCTAAGCAACCTGATCAGGGTTGGCAAGGGGGTTGGACTAGATGAACTTTCAAGGTCCTTCCAACCCAAACTACGATTCTACCCAAACTATGATTCTATGAACCCAGGAAACTGATTCTGTCCCTGAAGGTCTAACATGTCAGTTAATGCTGTTTTAAAGGCTTTTAGTCCTAAGGAAACTAAAATACAGTATGTTTGGAGTTCTGGATATAGTCAAAAGAAAGCAGTAAGAACTTTGCCAGAAATTAAACTAGCCCATGGTACCAAATGCTCATTCTTTAATATAAGAAGATGGCACGTAAAAAATGTATTTCTTAATATCCACAAGATTCCAGATTCCCCATTAAGTTAACTTCACTGTGTTGAAATATGGAAGTAAAAGGAGAAAAGACAAAAGCATCTTAGATAATAACAATAATAATAATAATAATAATAATAATTTTAAAAGCATACATTTCTACTTGATCCTTTGCTGTGGGAGATAAATCAGTCTCAGGAGACAAAGAGCCTTCTAACTTTTTGTGAATCTTCTCCTCTGTTTTGGAAGAAAATTCCAAATGCTTATCAGAAAAATTCAAAAAGCCAGTGTATCTTAC